CCCGGTGTGCCGGCACTGCAGGCAGAGGATTAGCCTATTGAGCGGCAGCATTTTGGACTCTTCAATATTTTGAATAGAGATGCTCAACTAGCAAAGTCTATGCAAATAATCCAAAATCTAAAAAACTCCAAAACAGGAACACTTCTAGTTCCAAGCATCTCAGATAAGGGATACCCAACCTGTAAAAACAATAGTTAACATGTACTGACCACTTACTGCATCAAAGCACTGTACTATCACTTCCTGTGCACTTTCTCATTTCATTGTTACAATTATCCTATGAGCCAGGCATATTATCATTCCCATCCATTACTGAAACAAAAATATCCTTTTATAAATACCTTTTATATCTTTTTCTATAAAAACTAGAGATTGTATTAAATCTTAAAAAAGACATTTCTCCAAGTAGACAAGATAATATAGGTATATTTTAAAAACTGTTTTCTTTCATAAACCTTTTTTCTTGCTGATTATTGCTGAATTTACTTAACTTTTAATTTGCACAAAGTGCAAGCATCCATTAAAGCAAACAGCTAAATTACTTCAATGTGTGTGTGTTTGTGTATGTATAATGTTCTTTAGCTTATTTTTGACAGATAAATATCACAAAGAAACCTGATGTTTATCTTGAAAAACAAGCTTGATAAGTTGTATTTGTCAGCAAGCATTGGAAAAGTCATAACACAGAGGAAAACCCAGAGTTGTATTGTGTAAACCCAAGGAACACTAAAAGAACTAATGGAGACTACAGGAAGGATGGTTTCAATATCAAACAGAAGTGGACTGGTGCTGTGGCGCAGTGGGTTAAGGCCCTGGCCCAAAGCGCCGGCATCCCATATGGGCGCTGGTTCTAGTCCTGGCTGTTCCACTTCTAATCTAGCTCTCTGCTATGGCCTGGGAAAGCAGTAGAAGATGACCCAAGTGCTTGGGCCCCTGCACCCATGTGGGATACCTGGAAGAAGCTCCTGGCTCCTGGCTTCGGATCGGCCCAGCTCCATCCATTGCGACCACTTGGGGAGTGAACCCGTGGATGGAAGAACTCACTCTCTCACTCTCACTCTCTCTCTGCCTCTCCTCTCTGTATTACTCTTTCAAATAAATAAATAAATCTTTAAAAAAATATCGAACAGAAGATGTTTAAGATATCCCAAACGGAGCCGGTGCTGTGGCTCAATAGGATAATCCTCCACCTTGCGGCGCCGGCACACCGGGTTCTAGTCCCGGTCGGGGCGCCGGATTCTGTCCCGGTTGCCCCTCTTCCAGGCCAGCTCTCTGCTATGGCCAGGGAGTGCAGTGGAGGATGGCCCAGGTGCTTGGGCCCTGCACCCCATGGGAGACCAGGAAAAGCACCTGGATCCTGGCTCCTGCCATCGGATCAGCGCGGTGCGCCGGCTGCAGCGGCGGCCATTGGAGGGTGAACCAACGGCAAAGGAAGACCTTTCTCTCTCTGTCTCTCTCTCACTGTCCACTCTGCCTGTCAAAAATTAAAAAAAAAAAAAAAAAAAAGATATCCCAAACCATAAACAGAAATGATTCACTTTAAAAAGTTTACCAGGTTCTCTAGCAATGAAAGCACCAAATCACAGAATGGAGAGGACTGTATGGGAGACATTCTAAACAGGAATTCTGCTTTGGATAATGTGCTATAGCTTCCTAGGGGTACCATAAAAACATACCAGATACCTGGTGCCAAGAAACAACAGAAATTTTTGTCTCCCGGCTGTGGAGGCTAGAAGTCTGCAGTCGAGGTGCTGGCAAGACCATGCTCCCTCCAAAACCTGCAGAAGAGAATACTTCTCAGGCCGGAGCTGTGGCATGCTGGGTTGAGCCTCCGTGGTGGGTTAAGCCTCCGCCTGGGGCACTGATTTATGTCCTAGTAGCTCCTCTTCCGATCCAGCTCTCTGCTAATGGCCTGGAAAAGCAGTGGAAGATGGCCCAAGTGCTTGGGTCCCTGCATCTGTGTGAAAGACCCAGAGGAAACTCCTGGCTCCTGGCTTCAGATCTGCCCAGCTCCAGCCACTGCAGCCATTTGGAGAGTGAACCAGTAGATGGAAGACCTTTCTTTCTGTCTCTCCCTCTCTTTAACTCTGCTCTCAAATAAATAAATTTTAAAAATAAAGAATCTTGGGGCCAGCGCTGTGGTGCAACAGGTTAAAGCCCCAGCCTAGAGTGCTGACATCCCAGAAGGGCACTGGTTCAAGTCCCAGCTGCTCCATTTCCAATCCACCTCTCTGTTATGGCCTGGGAAGCAGTAGAAGGTGGCCTAAGTCTTTGGGCCCCTGCACCTCTGTGGGAGACCTGGAAGAGGCTCCTGGCTCCTGGCTTCGGATCAGCTCAGCTCTGACCATTACAGTCGTTTGGGGAGAGAACCAGCGGGTAGAAGATCTCTCTAGCTCTACCTTTCTCTGTAACTCTGTCTTTCAAATAAACAAAATAAATCTCTAAAAAAAAATAAAGAATCCTTCCTTATGTTTTCCTAGTCTGTGGTAGTGTGCCAGAATACAGCTGCAGCATGTCAATCTCTGTCTCCATTAAAACACAGCATTCCACCCCCCAACTCTATGTATTTCTCTCCCTGTCTCTCCTAAGAATACCAGTCATAATAGATTAAAGGCCTATCATACTCCAGTATGACCTCATCAACTTAATCAATTACATCTGCAATGCTTTATTTTCAAGTAAGGTCACGTTTTGAGGTACTAGAGGTCAGGATCTCAACACATCCTTTTCTAGATACAACTCAATCCATAACAGATACCAAAGAAAATTAGATGACTATGAATTCTAAGATTCCAAGGCTTGAGGTATGTATGGGACAGTAAGTGCAACATTATACATGAACACTACAGTCTGAATTCATTCATTATTGCTGTTCATTCAACAAATATGTATTTTCTAGGCACTGTCCTAAGTATAGGAAACACACTGAAAACCAATGGTTGCCCTTGTGGAGCCAGTATTCAAACAGAATAAAAATGTACCTCTTAAGTGCCAGGTACTGTAGTTAAAAACGTACATGTCCTTTCATTAGCCCTCATAGCAATCTGTCAGATAAAAACTTTCATACTCTTCACCACGTAAGAAAACCAAGTCATGAGACCTAAGTAGTTGTTTGTTGAAGGTCAGCCTCTTCTTTAGGAATTGGCTTTCTGTCATTATAAAATGTCCTTTCAGTCTTCAGTGATATTCCTTGCCTTAAATCCACATTATTTGATAATAATATAGTCACTTCAGCTTTCTCAAGTTTACTTTCTGTCTGTGCTAATAGGTTTAGATGTTATTTTCAAGAAAATACATTTAAGTATTCTGAATTTAATGTGAAATACCTAAAGAATATCTCAGTCACTTCAGGTTCAGTGTTCACAGCTTCCATTCATATATGCTTTCCAAATTTACATTTCTTCTTCAACTCACATTCATGAAGGTTTTATTTATTTGATTAAATGAACTAAAAATACCTAGGAATGAAACAATAAGTATAGTGATGGCTCCATTCCAAGTTGGTTTTCCCAGCAATGGAAGATTTTAAAAAGCTATGGAATGACAAACTTCCAAGTCTCCCATTATAGGAAATCTGTGAGTTCAGTGACATGCCAGACTAGGTAACTTGAAAGATGCCTTCTTCTTTTACAGACTTATTACTCAGGTACTGATAACACCATGCCATTTGTACCATCTATACTCTTAGGCAGAGATACTCAGCTGGCACTATGTAGATTCGAATATAGAAAAAGACTACGAATACCATTAATAAGAAATTTGCTGTGGGTTTGACTGAAGATGAAGTTTAGCTTTACTCTACTTTCCAGGCAAATGAAAAACGAGCAGTGTAGAAATTATGTAGAGGGACAGGCATTGTGGTGTAGCAGGTAGAACTGTCGCCTGTGTCGTCAGCTCCCCAATATGGGCTTCAGTTCATGTCCTGGCTGATCCAATTCCCACCCAGCTCCCTGTTAATACATGTGGGAAAGCAACAGAGGATGGCCCAGGTGTTTGGACTCCGTCATCCACGTGGGAGATCCAGACGAAGCTCCAGGCTCCTGGCACGGGCCCGGACCAGGGTTGGCTGTTGCAGTCATCTGGGGAATCATTCAGTGATGGAAGATCTCTCTGTCTCCCCTTCTCTCTCTGTAACTCTGACTTTCAAATAGATACATAAATACATCTTTTTTAAAAAATCTAGAGAAACTGAAACTCGGGGCCAGCGCTGTGGCACAGCGGGTTAATGCCCTGGCCTGAAGCGCCGGAATCCCATATGGGAGCCGGTTCTAGTCCCAGCTGCTCCTCTTCCGATCCAGCTCTCTACTATGGCCTGGGAAAGCAGTAGAAGATGGCCCAACTCCTTGGGCCCCTGCACCTGCGTGGGAGACCCGGAAGAAGCTCCTGGCTCCTAGCTTCAGATCGGCGCAGCTCTGGCCATTGCGGCCAATTGCGGAGTGAACCATCAGATGGAAGATCTCTCTCTCTCTGCCTCTCCTCTCTCTGTGTAACTCTGACTTTCAAATAAATAAATAAATCTTTAAAAAAACCCTGAAATTCAGTATTTCAGTATCAACTGTGTTTAGCTTAAGAAACCCACTTATGTTACAACACAGATCTAAATCATATGTACATATTGTTTTAATGTTTTAAGAAGCTGTTCAAAAATTATTTTCAGCTTACTACAGTCACAACACATATATAAAAATTAGTAAATATTTCTTTTAAAGCATATCCTTTAATTCTGTTTTTTTTTTATCAAACTAGCCTTTCACTTAAGTATTCTGATGAATTATTATTTAACTCAGAATAGATAACATAATATCAATTTATGTAACAGTTTCATGACTACCCTGCATGGTGGCTAACATTCCAGACTATATGGAAAGAAGATTAAATTATACCACTTGGCAATACCAGAAAATAATCACTAAGAACATAGAGAAAATTTACCTAATTTACCAAAACTACCTTTTACTAATTCTCTCCACTTTCATATTATCTCAAATATATCTTCTCACCCGAAGCTTCATTTCTTCTAAGTCTTTTGTTTTCTGCACCAACTCCCCTCTTAGCTCTTCAAGCAGCAGCTGGAATTTTTCCTGGTTAGTTTGCTTCTCACTTAACAGGCGCTTGAGTTCATTTTGGGACTTCATGTACTCATCCTGCAACCTGGTTTTTTAAAAAGAATTCAATTTTAAGTGTATCCTTTGCTTTTTAATTTCATTTTATATCAACTAACCAATAGTAGAGAAAACTAAGAGTGATGTCACACATTCCATTAAACTTGCAAATATCTTTCCTTTACAGAGATCCATTTAATTATCAACACTGAAGTTTCTGAATGTAACTTTACTTTCAAGGGAAAGTTAGACGCCTCAATACATCTCATTTGATACCATACTTAGTTTTGGATAAAATTACTTTAATGCAAATATCTTACTGTATTTTTAGTTTTAGACGTATATACTAACAAACAAAAAAAAATTTTACTGTATATCCAGAACAAACATTTAGCTAAGACAGTTTCAATAACTAACTTTAAACGAAATTAAGTGATTTACCTTGTGTGTTCAGCTTTCAGAGTCTGATAATTAGTTTTATGATGTTCACATCGTAACCGCTCATCAATTAATACTTTCTGGAACTCAGATTGAGAACTTGTCAGTCCACTGTCTCCACCAGGAGGAAAAATGTTGGGAAAAGTGTCCATCTTGGTAGGTAATCTGATAATCATGTAAAAGCAAGTCTGGCTTTCTTTTTCTTTTAGTTTTCTTTCCAAGAGTTATTTTGCACTTCTTGCTGAGGCAGAATCTCCAGAGGCCAAATTAGACCTGCACAGAGAAATACAATTAGTCATCAGTAAAATTAAAGTTCCTTTGTGGTGACTCTTTTTTATTACTATCTTTCTTTTCACTTTTATATCAAAGTCCAGTTTTTAGATTTTCAATTGTTCATAAAACAAAATGCAAGAACAGAACTGAATAATATCTTAAAATTTTTTTCTTCGTTTCCATGCAAAGATTACATGGTCATCAAAGTCAAATCTTCAAGTATTAACCATACCCAAAGTACAGGCATTTCCAATCTGACCCTCCTAGATTCAAAGACCAGAGAGTCCGGTTTCCTGAAACTACTGTGATTAGCTTTTAGAGTGTATTCTGGTACCAAATCCACACTCCCAAATCAGGGGGAAAGCCATTTGTAACTTACTAAGTGGTTGGGAAAATCAGAATCTTCACAAAGAGGACCTTAAGCAAGTAACCATATCTATGATTAATGTTACAGAGAGTCATTAATTTACACAAGGCAAACGGCTCAAGCTACAGATTCAGAGGAGAAATACACAGTGATCACCTCCTATGTGTTAGGCATTATTCTAAGAACAGGAAACTAAATTATTTCATCTGTCCCCAAAAGCACTGCCCCAGTATCACCGCTGGTAACTAAGTATGTATTCCATCATGAGGCAGATATATGACCTGGCAATGAAGATGCCCGTGTTCCATATCAGAGTGGCTGGGTTCAAGTCCCAGCTCCAGCACAGGATTCTAGCTTCCCACCAGTGCAGACCCTGGGAGACAGCAGGTGATGACTCAAGTGCCTGGGTTCCTGCAATCCATAGCTTGAGCTCCTGGCTCCAGCTCCAGCCTAGCCCCAATCATTGCACTGCATGTACTTGGACAGTGAAATGGGAAATTCTTTCTCTGCCTCTCAAACAAATAAAATTTTAAATGCTTATTACATCTAGAAGTAAAAAATTAATAACAAAAATAACAGTTCAATCTCCTTAATTTCACTAATCATTCTCTAGACTATTATACTTACAGTTTTTTCCTGATAGCTTTCATGAGTTACCATGAGTTACTTTTTCTTACTACAAGAAAGGATTTTGGCCTACCAAACCAACCATAAAATTACTCAGTCTTGCTTGAAAGGTATCATCTCTGATAAATTAGTTTGATGTCTACATATTACATGAGACCTTTAAACTACAATTGGGATTGCTGTGGTTTCCAGTGAAATTATATTTTAATAAAAGGGGAAAAGTCCTTCAAGGATGCTTTACACCTCACTCTTATTTAAACATAAACTAGGACTCAATGTCTATAAATCCAGAGTACATTATTTGCAGCAGCTACCAGAAAATCATGCTGTCAAGAATACACATTTGCCACAGATTTAATGAAGTGGTTCATAAAACTAGCATGCATTTATGCTTCTGCTCTTTGGCCTAAATTAACTGTTAAAAGAGAGAAACATACAATAATTCTGTCTGAAACTTTTCAATAATACCAATAAAAAGTATTAAAGGGTTTTTATTTCAATCAGCTGAAAACTGAAACTACATTAATAAAATAAAAAAACTACCCTTTAATCCCACTGCTAGTAAAACAAAGATTTCAAAGCTAAACATCAGTATTTTTTTCTCTCTGATTCCAGTTAAGTATACAATAAAGTAAATTTTGCCACTAACTCTTACTTTAAAATGGGAGTATAGTCCTTTTGGGAAAAAAAATTTATTAAGATGAATATATTTGGAAAATGAAGCTAAAATTATTTATCACCTTGCCTTTGGGCACTGGAATCCAATAAAAAGAAGTACTTTTCAGTATGTCATCAATTTCAAAATATCCTTCTCTCAGTCACCAATCTCAATTCCAATTCCAGTTCATCTGAAAACATCTATGGAGGCTGGCGCTCAGTAGGCTAATCCTCTGCCTTGCGGCGCCAGCACACCAGGTTCTAGTCCCGGTCGGGGCACCGGATTTTGTCCCAGTTGCTCCTCTTCCAGGCCAGCTCTCTGCTGTGGCCCGGGAGTGCAGTGGAGGATGGCCCAAGTCCTTGGGCCCTGCACCCGCATGGGAGACCAGGAGAAGCACCTGGCTCCTGGCTTTGGATCAGTGCAGCACGCCAGCCGCAGCGGCCATTGGGGAGTGAACCAATGGAAAAAAGGAAGACCCTTCTCTCTCTCTGTCTACTCTGCCTGTAAAAAAAAAAAAAAAAAAATGTCTTTAGCCTTCCTTCTCCAATTCCAGTGGAGCGGATTACACACACACACACACACACAAACACAAAAGGAGAAGAAGAAGAAAACATCTATGGATAGTCTGCTTTGAAATGAACGTGCCCCTAAAAAAATCCATGTTAAAGCCCTAATCCCCAACATGACAGTAGTAAGCAGTAGGGCCTTTAGGAAATAATCAGGTTTAGATGAAGTCCCAAGGCTGGAGCCCCCATGATAGGATTTATAGAAGAAAGGAGAGAAACCAGAGTTTGCTCTGTCCACCACATGTGGACCCAAAAGGAGGACAGCTGTCTGCAAGCCAACAGCAGACCATCACCAGCCACCAAATCTGCTGGCACCATGATCTTGGATTTCACAGCCTCCAAAACCACGAGAAATAAATTTGCAAATTTCTCTTTAAGCCATTTTAGTCCATGATACCTGGTTATGGTCACCCAAACTAAGAGAGCTCTCATATTTTCCCATACCAAAAGGATTCTTTGTATTCATAGAATACTTTTTTTAATTTCACTTTCTTCTTATAAGCTAATTTTTAGTGACTAATAAAGCTAGACTACATTACATACATTATCAGTAGGTACCATACCCAACCACATGCTATATTTTCTCCTAAAAAGAGAGGAAAAAATTACTGTTAATTTGCATACATGCACACAAAAATCATAACTTTTCCAGAAGGTTACCTATATCAAAATGATAAATTTGGGACCAGAGTTATAGTGTAGCAGGTTAAGCTGCAACTTGTCACGCTGGCATCCTACAACAGAGCACCAGTTTGAATCTTCACTACTCTGCTTTCAATCCAGCTCCATGCTATCCTGACTGGAAATAGAGTGGATAATGGCACAAATACTTAGTCCCTACTACCCATAGGGAACACCAGATATAGTTCTTGGCTTCTGGCTTTGACCTGGCCCAGCCCAAACTATTGCAACCATCTGGAGAGTGAACCACCAGCTAGAAGTTCTCTTTCTCCCTGTCTCTTCCTCTTGTCACTCTACTGTCAAATGAAAATTAATAAATATCTTTTAAAAAGTAGAAACAGGAAATTAAAAAAAGATAAATCTGCTTACTCCCTGACTCAATTCCAAGAATTAACTTTATAAAACTAAGTGAACAAAGATAATTACTAATATTCTTTGCAACACTGGTTTCAATAAAAAATGAAAAAAATCAGAAATGACCTAAGCTTCCACAAGTAAAGAACACCATACTATTAATTTTCAAAGTTAAGAGGATAGATCTGTGCCCACCACCTCCACAGCATGATGAAAAGAGTGTGGGAAAACACTCACATTTGCTGATACACACCAAAAGTCAAAATATATGCACCAAACTCCTAACAGTGGTAAATCCTGAGGAAATGATAATGGGACACCACCTCTACCCACATGACAGCATGCATTTATTATTAAATTTTCTTTTTAATAATTCCTAACAAATTCTTAGATAATCAGCAAATTCTCAACAAAATCTCACTCTCATCTTCTAGTGCCATATCTCAAATCACCCAAGAAACAATTCTATCATGTTATATTCAAATTATCCTAAACCAAGGTCATCCTTCTTGTTTTCCCATTTTTAGTATGGATTCTAGTATTAGGCTACCACTTATAAAGATCTATGAATTTATTTGAAAAGCAGACTTACAGAGACAGAGGGAGACAGAGATTCCCCATCTGTTGCTTCACTCCACAAATGGCTACAATGGCTAGAGCCGGGCTGGCAGAAGCCTGGAACTGCATCCAGGTCTCCCACATGGGTGGCAGAGATCCAAGCACTTAGGCCATGTTCTGTCTTGGCAGAGCACGTTAGCAGGGAGCTGGATTGGAAGTGGGGCAGCCAGGACTCGAACCAGAGCTCGCATGGGATGCGATGTCGCAGCGGCAGCTTAGCCACTGCACAATGCTGGTCCCATTATGCTCACACTTATCCACACTTACAACCTCAAAACCTTCTCTGCTTTTTCTTCTCAAGTTCCTATTACAGACATCAAATACTCTTCCTTTCAAGTATACCCCATTCCCTTCATTTCTATTTACCACAAACCAGATTCTTATCACCTCACAAATAAATCATTATTAGAGCTTTTCCATTCCTGTTTTCAAAATTTTCTCTTAGCCATGCCAAAGTAATGTCCTACTAATATTTAAATTTTTTTTACCGGACTTCCTGAGAAAAAGTTAAGACATTCCAGCCTAGTAAGGTCCTATACAATGAGACTCACCCACTTTTAGACATTTAAAACAATTTTTGCACCAAAATAAACTTTTTATTCCATTTTCCCACAAATGTTCTTTAGTGCTTTTGTATTATTTTCAAAATGCTGAAATTACTGTCAATCTAAAATTCTAGTACAGCAAAACATATCTTTCAAGAATAATAAAGGCATTTTCAGACAAATTTTCACAAACAAAATAAAAACTACAAATATGGGCATAATTCTAATTGAACACTGACTAAATAAGATGATCTTGTAGGATTTTAACATACATGAAGACTGAAAATACATGATACAATGGTATATAAATAGAACTACACTATCTGGAAAGAGGTTGAAAGTAACAGTTAATATTATACTCCAGGGAGTCCAAGATGTATATTATAAACGCTAGGAACGGGCTGACCAACTACAACCCATGGGCCAAATTTGGCATGCAGCCTGTTTTTGTATGGCCCCAAAAGAATTTTATTTACATTATTTAAAAATGAGCACAGATACAAAAACTCTCAACAAAATATTAGCAAATTAATTCCAACAATGTATAAAAAGACTTATCCACCAAGACCAACTGGGATTTATTC